CAGTCTAGGGACAGTCTGATTCTCAGTGTATTCGGAGAGTCTAGAGTGAGATTTGTATCCAGGAGACTCACAGGGACACAGTCATCAGGGTGGAACTCCTGGCAGGCTTTCCTGGTGCTGATGGGCACGTACTGCCCGTTGATCATGAAGCACTGGTAGAGTGTGCAGTTGTCTCCAGGGAAGGTGATGTTCTGTCCAGGCTGTGAGGGGAGAATGGAGAGGTGCTCCTGTGATCAGTGTTAATGAGATCCAGGGGCAGGTGTAGCAGTGGCAGTAGTATCAAACCCAGCAGCTTGTAGCAGTGTAGTAACAGTAGAACTAGAAGCATTGTAATAAATGTCAGTGAGAAGAAGGTACATCAGACAGTGCTCTTACTCACCTTCAGCTCATACAGAGGGCTTTCACCATTTCCACTGGGATTCCCACTGCTGCCTGTTGGTGTGGGGTTGTCATTGTTGCCTTTTGGTGTTGTGTTCTCATTGTGGTCTCTTGGTGTTGTGTTGCCATTATTGCTTTTAGGTGTTGTGTTGTCATTGTGCCCTTTTGGTGTTGTATTCTCATTGTTGCCTTTAGGTGTTGTGTTGTCATTGTGGTCTTTTGGTGTTGTGTTGCCATTGTTGCCTTTAGGTGTTGTGTTGTCATTGTTGCCTTTAGGTGTTGTGTTGTCATTGTTGCCAGTTGGTGTTGTGTTGCCATTGTTTGCCTGTTGGTGTTGTGTTGCCATTGTTGCCCTTAGGTGTTGTGTTGTCATTCTAGTCTTTAGGTGTTGTGTTGCCATTATTGGCTTTAGGTGTTGTGTTGTCATTGTGGTCTTTTGGTGTTGTGTTGTCATTGTGGCCTTTAGGTGTTGTGTTGCCAGTGTGGCCTGTGCTGCCAGTGGGAGTGGTGTTGCCATCGGTGTTGCCAGTGCTGCCCGGGATGTTGGGCATGGGGAAGACACAGGCAACCTGGGTGCACTTTCCACAGCACTGGCCAGGGACCTCCTGGTATCGGAAACCCTGTGGTTTGAGGAAAGAGCACAGTTAACAGCAGAGGCAGGGCTGTGGAGACACACGTGTGAGGGGCTTCAGTCCCAGCAGGGGCCCCCTAACAAGCAAAGGCTCAACAGCTGCCTTGTGCCCTGAGAGTCTCCTTCCTTCATCTACACACTTTCCAGGCTCTGTCCAGTTCTCCTCTCTATCAATCGCACCAGTAGGACATCAGAGCTGTATCACTTCTCTCACCGCCGGGCAGTTCCTGTCGCACGTCTGCTTCCTGCACTGCATCTGGTGCAGCTGTGTGAAGGGGTCTATCTCAGAGGTGCACTGACACTCCTCGCACAGGGACACTGGCACGATCACCCCAGGCTGCACAGGACAGGACAGGAGACATGTGACACATCCTCACCACGGCACCGCGCAGCTCTTCCAGGGGTTCAGGGGTGCACAGACCTCCCCTGCTCTCCGAGTGGCCCTAGGAGGAGGGAGGGTCTCTCTTACCTGGTATTCGATGTTGTTCAGGACACAGACATTCCTGGGCTCTGCAAATGCAGAATGAGCACCGTTAACAACACAAGATCAGTCAATCAGTCATATAAATCCTGCATTGGACATCTTAGATATCAGATATCTTGAGTACAAAATGAGGATAGTTTTGTCCTTGACTAGACTCTGTGACTTGGGAACTGAAAGAGTTTCACATAGCTGGACTCTGATCTCTGTCTTGGTTCTGTTTCACACTAGAGCCACACAGAGTGGCTGTGGGCCTGTGAGGTCCTGTGTCTGAACTTTCCCCAGTGTGGTCCAGTGCAGTGGTGCTGACTGCTGCAGCAAACACTGTTACTCTGACAAGCTGATAGGAGGGAAGTCTGTGCTGGAAACATGCTGGAGCTGCACTGTCTTCTCTCCCTGAGGTTCACTGGGTCACGTGCTGCAGCAGTAATGAGACGGACTGAGGGCACAAGCTTACCGCACTTGTAGACTGGACAGCAGCCCTGCTCGGAGGGCTGGGCCACAGGTTTGAATCCCGGCTCACAGCTCTTCTCAGCCTTGGGGCAGCGGCTCAGGTCACACTCTGCACAGACAAGCAGACAGCTGTTCACAGCAGGACAAGGGACCAGGAGCTGAGTTCACAGCTGCTCTCTGTGGATTCCTGGGTACAGATCCACCTGGACCATACATCACTAACAGACCCTGTCCAGGCCCTCTTGACCGCTTGTCCCTCTCCCTGCTGGACACTCACTGCATGTGGTGGTGTTGCAGCAGGAGTCGTTGGCCATGGGCCCAGTCACCAGCACCTGGCCCTCCTGGGTGCAGGGCAGTGTGGGCGGCACAGGGCACACGTGGGGCTGGCACTGCACACTCATGGAGGCTTCGTCGCACACGCAGTCATGGCAGTTACTGCGCCAGGACTCGCCCAGCTGGGGGGGAGGGGTGACAGGGAGGAAGTACAGGTGACACACAGTCCTGAGCTCACGAGCAGGAGAAGACTCTCACACAAGAGACAAGCACGCTGAAATTCAACACCTGGACCACAGCTAGACAACACTCTCACCTTCTTGGGCGTGCCGTCTGGCCCAATGCAGTCTGAAAGGAAGAAGGACAAGTTTTAATGAGGACGGTCTGTTAGTGAAGCCAAAGCACACACTGACAGTGAGGCCGGGTGTCTTCAGCTCCTTAACTCACAGCAGCTCTGAGCGAAAGAATTCGAGAATTAAATCAGCTCAGCTGGAGGTCATACGCGGCTCGTTCGTGTGTTTAATTTCACACCTCTCCATCCACCCCATCTTTGTCCCTAACGAGCTGCTTGAATCCTCCCTCATTCAGATCAGTTACCCCAGCAAAGCTCACTGTTTGAGTCAGCCCTCTCCCCCACCTCAAGCAGACTGCTGAAACAGGACAGATCACGCTGCAGACTGCATCCATCAGATCACACATGAATCATGTCTGCGTCATGCATGAGTACATGTCGGGGTACTAGAGGCTGGAAACACTGTGCAGCTTCATATTGGGCTGTGGTGGGCCCCTATTGTCAAACAGCTCAGGCACAGATCCTTGAGCATTACTTGTGCTGCAGAAATCAATCAGAGAAAGACAGAGGTCTTGTGAGCGAGTCGGGGGTCAGTCGGTCAGCAGGCTCACCGCAGGAGGACACGCAGATATCCGAATGGGGGCTGGACAGCATGGTTCCATTGGGACAGAAACAGCCCTCGGCCAGATGAGACTTATCACTGCTGACGAATTCCTCATTATACCTTTCGATACAGGGATGACACTGTTGTAACAGAAAGAATAAGGTTCTGCATCCCAAGATGAAGTTAAACAGATGAGTATATTGCATGCAAGGAACAATAAAGCCGAAGTCTTGTTTCCCGCAAGAAACAACAAAACCGAAGTATTGTTCAAAGTGCCGGTACAAACTTTAGGTTTATATAGTATTTTGTTTCTGCTTCTGACGTCACTCGGTATTATGGTAAAGAGGGGGGGGGCATGGTATTTGGCCAGTTAAGAGACCCCGGCCAAATGGTCAGTTTAAGATTATGCCCCCAGGGGGTTCCTTGCTCGCATCTGCAATCCTTATCAGTTAACCCCCTTTCCTGCCATAAACTCCAGCTTGTGACTTAGAAGTCTAAACCTCATACAGAAAGGATCTTCACATCTTTCTTCAAGAGCCTCCTTCTTATTGCTTACAAGGCCCTGAGAGTGCCTTCTCTCTCAGTGCCTTCACTGCCAGGTCAAAACTCCCAGATGAGCTGATAGTCAAATAGTCAGATATGTGTAGGTGGATGTGTGCTCCAATGTGTTGTTGTTGAGTGTGTATTTGTACCTGTTTCCCTGAGCTCTGGCCTTCTTCTGGAAAACCATGACTCTGGTCTTGTCCAGACAGTACTGCTCCAGCAGTGCCAGGTTCAGCTGCTGCCCCTGTTCTGGGTCCAGATGGGCTGGCAGTGCCCAGGACTGACAATACTGCTCCAGCAGTGCCAGGTTCTGCTGCAGCCCCTGTTCTGTGAGTGACAACAGGACCAGGTCATCTGCATAGAGCTGGAACTTGATTTCTGTGTTGTGTAGTGTGGGACCAGGAGTTGCAGACTGCTCCAACATTCCTGCTAACTCATTGATATAGATATTGAACAGTGTTGGGCTCAGGCTGCAGCCCTGTCTCGCCTTGAATTCTGTCCTTTCGTTTCCAATTTTCACTGCCCATTTGTTCTCTGAATACATTGATTTAATTATAGTATGTTGTACACTTTTGGAGAAGTTTATAAAACAGTTCTTTGTGCTAAATCGAGTCAAATGCTTTCTTGCATTTTTTCCTTTGTCTTTTTGGTGGACGTGTTTGTCTATCAGTGTGTGTAGGGTATAAATGTGATCAGATGTGCGGTGATCTGGTAAGAAGCCAATCTCACTCTTGCTCAGGACATTGTGTTCGGTAAGGAAGGCCAGTATTCGTGCATTTAGGATAATGCAGAATACCTTCCCCAGGTTACTGTTCACACAGATGCCCCGGTAGTTGTCGGGATCGAGTCTATCTCCACTCTTATAGATAGGCGTGATCAGTCCTTGGTTCCAGGCCTCGGGGACACATCCACCTGTCATGATGAGATTGAGGAGTTTGAGCTGGGCTTGTTGCAACTTTGTGCTGCTGTGTCTCAGAACCTCGTTGTTGACTCCATCTTGGCCACAGGCTTTGTGTGGTCTGAGGGCCTGGAGTTTGTCCAGTAGCTCCTGCTCAGTGATTGGGGAGTCTAAGGGGTTTTGCTTGTCTTTGATAGCCAATTCCAAGATTTTCATAGATGGTCTGATTTATTAAAATTGTTCCACTTCTCCCAGAAACAGTTCTGATTTAGTGACACCTCAATTTCTGCAAGCTGTTTGTTTATGTACAAACTGCTTGCTTTTCTTTTTCCACGTGTGTTTGTAATGTTTTACCATTTCTTAGTAGCTGAGGCGCAGATCTGTGTTGTGTGGTTGTCTGTGTTTTTGATTTGAGAGTTTTAGTAGTGCTTTTCTGATGTTTTAGCTCTCCATATCAAACTACTTTTCTTTTATTTTGTTGTTTATAGCTTAAATTTTGATGCTAGATTGTGAAATAGGTGATTTAGTTTTTGTGTGGCAATGTTTCTGCCTATTTTGTGTCACGGTAGATTGGGATCCTATGCGAGGCACTTCTAACTTCGAAGGTTAGGAGTTGAGACGGGAGGCGAGGACGTGGTCGAGTACGAGAGCTGGGGTCCAAAATCCAGGAAGGAGTCGAGAGGTCATAGGTACCAAATCGGGAGGCGAAGACGTAGTCAAAGGAAGGCGTTGAGTCAGAATTCCAGGGGTTTAACACCAAGTAAAGCAGGGTGGGAAACATACGAATTTGCAGCTCAGGGAGGAGACCTCAATCGTGAGAGAGAAAGGGAAGACTAGTGAGGGTTTAGATAGTGCTGAGTAGAGTGGTGCCTGGACGTTTAGGGAGAGAAGAGCTCGTGGGAATGTAGGAGCGCTTACATGCCCCGGTGCGATTCATGACAACAGGCGTATTTTCTTCAGCACTTCTCAGGAAGTACAGCTGCTGTTGTGCCTTCTTGATGAGACTGAAGGTGTTGAGTGCCCATGTGAGGTCCTTAGAGATGTGAACACCTAGGAATTTGAAGTTCTTCACCATCTCCACCGCAGTCCCTTCGATGTAGATGGGGGAGTGGACTTTTGCTTGTCTCCTGAAGTCAACTCTCAGCTCTTTTGTTTTGCTGATGTTGAAACATAGGTTGTTGGTTCGGCACCAGTCTGCAAGTTGTTTTATCTCCTTCCTGTAGGCAGCCTCATCGTTGTCAGTGATCAGGCCCACGACTGTGGTATTGTCAGAAGACTTGATGATGGTGTTTGTGCTGAACTTGGCAGTACAGTCGTGGGTGAACAGGGAGTAAAGCAGTGGGCTGAGCACACAGCCTTGAGGGGCACCGATGTTAAGGTTGATCGTGTTGGAGGTGAGGTTGCCAATCCTGATAGTCTGGGTGTCAGGATTGAAAATGAGGGTCTTGTGTTTTTTTTTACAAGTTGTTCATTATGTTTTATTCAAAGTTGGTTAATAGATGTTTTCTAGGAATATAATTTATTTTATTGTTCTGAATAGTAAAGAAAGATGGTTTTGGGAACAATGGTTGGTGGTTGATGGTTTTGGGGACAAATCACGATCTGGTGGGGTACAGCACCTTTCTGCCAAAAGCCTCCAATAAGTCCTGGACCTGGACCTGGACCTGGACCCGGACTTGTGAAGTTCTGTTTCTCTGGTTGGGCTATCAGAACAAGTGCGATTTGTGACAGTTTGTTGGTTTGATACGGAGTGTTTAGGAATGTGTCCAACAGTGTCTGAATTTCTTCATCGCCCAGTGCAGTTTGGTATCTGTCTAGGCTGTCGGTGTCCCATCTGTATACCTGGTTGAGGTCATACAGCTGGCTGGGCTGTGTCAGTGTGTCTCTGTGCTGGTGTGCTCTCTTCATGTAGAGTGTGATCTGGCTGTGGTCGGAGAGAGGAGTCTGTGGCCTGATAGTGAAGGCACTGATACAAGAGGGGTCCAGGTCGGTGATGGCGTAGTCCACCACACTGCTGCT